ACGTGGCCATCTGCAAACCCCTGCACTATGGAACAATCCTGGGCAGCAGAACTTGTGTCCACATGGCAGCAGCTGCCTTCGGAAGTGGGGTTCTCAACTCTCTCCTGCACACGGCCAGTACATTTTCACTACCCCTCTGCCAAGGCAATGCTGTGCAACAGTTCTTCTGTGAAATCCCTCAGATCCTCAAACTCTCCTGCTCACACTCCTACCTCAGGGAAGTTGGGCTTGTTGTGGTTAGTCTCTGTGTAGTATTTGGGTGTTTTGTTTTCATTGTGGTGTCCTATGTGCAGATCTTCAGGGCTGTGCTGAGGATCCCCTCTGAGCAGGGACGCCACAAAGCCTTTTCCACATGTGTCCCTCACCTGGTTGTTGTCTCCCTGTTTATCAGCACAGGCATGTTTTCCTACCTGAAGCCCCTGTCCATCTCCTCCCCATTTTTGGATCTTGTCATGGCAGTTGTCTACTCGGTGGTACCTCCAACAGTAAATGCTTTCATCTACAGCATGAGGAACCAGGACCTAAAGGATGCCCTATGGAAACTGATCCAGTGGAAACAGATCCACTGACAACAAGCTGCCTGCCCTGCTCTGCACATTTCCCAGAGTTTGTCTCAGGCCACGATTCTACTCTTTTGCCTCATGATAATCATAGTTATACACTTTTTTGGTGTTTTTTTTACTTATTCTGAAACTTGCTCCTGTGTGTCTGACCCTTGCACAGCACTGTTTCCCGTGTCATTGTCCAATAGCAACTCTTCAATAAAACAAGATCACCCAGGTGCAGTGATTGGAGGCTGGGATCCTTCTCAATTTTTTTGTTTTCATTAAAACATCTGAGGAACTGTTCTTTTAAAGAGTCGTTTCTTCCTTTGTTCTGTTTCTGTTTTGGGTTAAGCTCAGGGTACCATCAGGTTCTACTGACCCAAATATTCTGGATTTCATGGATCTCTTGTAGGAATCCAATGGCAGTGGAAATGGTACATTGAGCTCCACATTATCTGCCCAGGAAGCTTCATATGTGACAGGACTCTTAGCATATACTCAGCTCTCTGGAAATGAATTTGGAGGGGTCAGGAGAGGATGGGGATTCACCATGTTCCCTGGCTTGGGAGGGAATGG